GAGAATTGTGCTTCAATTGTTTCGTAAGTAACAATGAACAACAATAAGCTCTGAATTCAATTTCGTACAGCAGATTTACAATTTTCGTTAATTTTTCATGAACAATCTGATGATACTATATTAAATTAAAATCACAATTTTGTCAACTTCGAAAACCGCTTTTAAAATAGTAAAATTAATATGTTGAAATTAATTGGTATTATTTAATTGAAAGCACGCTGGCGTTTTGATTTTAAATTGCCACGGCAACCAACTTATTCTAGGAAAACTAATCAGACTAAAGTTTGACACGCAATCCACAAACGCAGTCTATATTACGCTGTTCTCTATGCGACAGCACACAGACTGGCTGACGACACTGAATGGTTATTTTATGTTTTTCGAAATCATGGTTAAATTACTATATGAAAAATCGAAATTTATAATTTATTCGGACAGCTTAATATTCAGTACGGATTCTAACCATCCGAAATGTTATATTTTCTTATATATTTTTGTACTTGTTTCAATTTCATATAAACTAAAAAATATTGTAGTTTAGTTATTATCGGACTATGAATATCATAAATTGTTTAGGGAAATAATTAGGTCGAAATCGAAACCGTCAAAACATCACATAAATTTGAGAATAACTATCAAATAGACTACGAATTTTTATGCAAAATAATTTTAGTAGATCAGAAATTATCTATTGACATTTCAAAATTTGTTAAATCTTTCTACCATTTTGAGTTGTAGAAAGAATATCAATGCGTATATAATTGCAAACATCTGCAGCCTACTTATTAATATTGTCGAAGAAAAAAACATTTTCATCTGACTTACGTTTTTTATAATTCACTATGGTTTTTATTCTGCGTTCGAAGTTACCGTGCGCTTCATTTTACTTATTTATTTGTATAGTACCACAAAATACTACTACACTAATTATACCGTCAATGTTTCGACGATATTCCGTTTCGAAAAATCTGAAAACCGACGGAACTGATTTTTCGGAAACAATGGATCTTGAAAATCGGTTCTCTCAGAAGTATTCGCACAGTCTCCGAAGAATGCTTTCATTACCCCGCGGCAGCGGAGCTGGAATTTGTCTTAATTACAACTTTAGCTGTTCGAGAGTTAATCATCTTGAACGTTTTCCGTTTCGACTTGCTCGATAATCACGCGGCTTGATTCCCGTTGACGGCCCTCTAAAATCTATTGTCTAGCATTGTATCGCAATCCAGCGTTGTTCAAGCTTCCGATTGGACACTTCTTTTTATAATATCGATCAGCTCGCGAATGAAGACTGACTGGTTAATGAGAATCTTGATGAAGAAATTTAATATCGCTCGATATTACGGTTCGCCTGTGTTGGGGAGGCCCTTGTTCAGGGAATCGCATGTTAAAGACAACGACGGTGTACATGCACACATACACACACACACATAAACGCACGTATATACGGTGTGCACTTCGGTTAGGAAACAAGTTTCCGCTTTATTAATTCCGCCGAGCGAGATTTTATTGAACTTTATGCGAAACAACTAAATCCCACTGTCAACAAAATAAGACGCGCAAATGTATCTTAATACTTCCGGCGCCACTGTAATACGAAACCGATAAAGCCGGCGGATAATAAGGCTTCCAGCTCTTCGGAATTCTGCTATGTAACGAAGCAAATTGTTCCCTGAATTTAATAATAAGAATTGTTACAGTCCCCGTTGTTCTCTCGCGAATGCGAATCGCGATGAAATTGGGTATTACATAACTGTATTATGCGACGGGATATCTGCAAGGTGCTCATGGACCGCGAATTCTTACGCGAACGCGTAAGGTTTTTTTGTGAAAGTACGTCGTGAAATTACAATTATACGAGAACGTATGTATGATAATATTGGCTTGTTATCTCGTAGCTCAAATAGAGAAACTAGTTTTTATTAATAAACTCGTAGAAATTTTTCGCAACAGAAACAAATGTAACTGCAAAATTACATATAAACGCATTCATTGTTTGCACCTGATTTTTTAGGATAAAATAATCTCTATTAAGGATACGTCTATTATTGCAAAATATTGTAATTGAATCGATAAATGTGCGAGAGATCAGTTGCAGGAAAATTATTGTTATAC